CTACGGCGCGTTAAGCAGAAGTGCTGTTACGAACGCGAAGGCTGTGCCAAAAGAAGTGATGAAAACGACTGCTGGCGGCTTAATAGCGAGCGGAAGGGCAACACTGAGCAGCCCAGCCTTCCAGGGGTGGTTCGGCCTGACAGATGTGCTTGAGAAACAAGGCAGGCGGGGTGGTGAAGGCGGCACAAAGACTAACGGGTACTTGGGTGGTGCCTCTGGCCGGACACCTCCTGTGACAGCAGTTAACTGGGAGACCGAAGAACCACAAATGCCGGCTTCCTACGGACCGCCCTTACGTGGACCCAAGAAGGAAATAAGCATTCTGGGTTCTGCTGCAAGACATCTTGCTGGTAATGCTGAGGAAAGGCTTTCTGCTACCAAAAGTAACAAGCTCCCTTTGTTTAAAACAACTCTTCCAACTGTTGGAGGTGCTTACGTGTCTGGAAATCTTTCAGATCACCAGAAAGGTGCTCAAGAGATTAGCTTCGAAGCAGTGCTAAACATCTTTCAGGACAGAGAGCACCAGATTTTTCTTATGGTGTTGGGTGCTGTGGTGCTTTGGGAGCTGTTGGCTACTTCTCTCGAATGGACAGTGGACGAGAGACTCTATGAATTCCTCGACTTCGTGGATGCAACTGACGGGTATAGCAAGCTCTGGATCTGGAGTTACTTGGGTTCCTCTGTAGGAGCCTGCAGCATTGCTGTAGTCGTGGATCATCTGAATTGCTTCCTCAGCAGCTCTGTCACCCGCCTAGCTGTCCATTTCTATGGCTATGCTCTCCTGGTCACGCTCTCACTGCTTGTCACCATCTTCTTCCCCATCCATCTTCCCAAGGAAAGCAACCACGTTAGCAGAACGGGCAAAGCGCTGGCGCTGCTGCGGGGCGATGGCCGGGCGCTGCTGTGCGGTGCCACCGTGCTCCTCACCGGCGCGGCCGGCGCTGCCGTGCACAACTTTCTGGTCTGGCAGCCGGTGGACCGGGGGAGGCGGTGGCTGTTCTGTACATGGGGCTCTCTGTGGCCGTTGGGCTACTTGCTGAAATGTTGCTTTATTTCTTCAAAGGGAAGTTGCTGAGGACTTTCTCAAGCAGCACAATTGTCGCGATCAGCCTCAGCCTCCTGGCAGCACAGCTTCTGTGCTACTCCTTCTTGTGGACTGCGTGGTCCGTTCTCCTCATCCAGGTTTTATCTGCCTTCAGTAACGGTGCTTTGTGGTGGGTGGTCAGCATGACAGTGGATGACATAGCCACGCCGGGCACGGCGAGGTCTCTGCACGCTGTTCTCCAGGGCCTCTGCCATGGTGGAGGAGAGAGCTTGGGCAGTTTTGCAGGAGGATTTGTGGTGCAGCACTTCGGCCTGGCCGTTCTGTACAGGGCGTGCTGCGTGTGCCTGGTGCTGTGGCTCTTCCTGTTCTTAATCGTCCAATCTAAATTGCCGCAGCAGAAGAAAATTAATTATTCTCGTCTCCTGGCTGCTGGTTCCAGTGAAGGGAGTGACTCTGACGAGAACGAGAGGGACTGGCTGGTGAAAGCCATGAAGGATGAAAGCTTCGGTAGGAATTGGTCACACAAGCATGGGATCAACTAACCTGTACTTGACTGTAAGGGGTGGAGTGGTGACATGGGATGATGATGATGCCCAGAAATGACCTTTAATTCTAAAGTGCTAAATATATACAGTATGTCTCTGACAGGACAGATTTTTATTCTTCAAATTTTATAAATCTTTTCATTTCCTTAATTTGTAGTGTTCTTATGGTAATTTTGCCTTTTTAACAGAATGATTTTGCTTCCAGAATCATAACAAGGAATTCCAGGTATACATTTGCTGAAATGAATGTAGCTAAGTTTTTAGTCAAAAACCAAACTTGAATTGAATTCCTGCCTCCCAGAGCTGATGCAGTGGAAACTGAGCAAAGCTGTGGCCTGTACTGGCACAGCTGGGTGAAAGATGCTGTCGTGCTGACAGCACACTGAACTTTTTCAAGGTGCTATGTCTGAACTCCTGCTAACTAAGGGATGTGAATAAAAAATGGTTCATTTGCCCTCCTTTGATTTGTAAAATCAGGTTTTGCTACAGACTGTCTTCTCCTGTTTGGGGATTTAAGTATCCTTCTGTGTTGGTGTCTGTTGGTAACAACGCACGCGTGTGCTCACAGTCAGGGCCTGCTGGCTGGGCAGGTGGAGCAGAGCAGCCCCGCACTTCTTTGTTTGATAGAATGTGTGATTCTGTTTACGTAAGGAGGCAGCAGCCAGCGTCAGGGGTGACCAGGAAGCAGGCTGCCCTCCTGATCTGAGTAACTTCTGTGGGCTGGGAATTACCAGAGGGCAATATTCGTTCCAAAGGAACTTGGCACTGGATGAGTTACCTGGTGGAAGCTGGAGGTTCCCCCTGGGTCAGTTTGGCCTGAGGGCAGCTCTTTTCTCACGTTTTCTTTTTAGAACTAAATCTGTGAACTGAGCAGGGTCTGCTATGAATGATCCTCAAGCTGCCTTGTCTGCCTTTCCTTTACTTCCGAGGAACACAGATTTCAACACCTCTTCAATGGATAAGATTTGCTTAAAGATTGAGAAATTGGTGGTCTGACCTTATTAAAAGACTGGCAGAGAAGTTTTGAGGGTTACGGTCCTTTCAGTTACATCAAAAGCTGCTGTCAGTTAGTTATGTACTTCCTTGGTCAAGGAGCGACATCTATCTATTCCTTTGCAGAGGGATAGATTTTAATAACATCTTTCTGGTGTCTTACAAGCCGTTGAGATAGGCAGCTGCAGGAAGCAGAATATTTAAATGCGTATTTAATATGTAATATGTAAATGGCATTGCAATCTGTCATCTTGCTGCATTCCAGACTCAGTAGGAAGTGGTTGCAGACAAGGAAAAGCAGTGCCACTGAAAAGAATCTTTCTCTATATGCATCAATTCTAGATTATCTGTGTATCAGATGCTTTCAGGGTAATTAGCTCTGTCTTTTCCTGACACAATCCACTCTGCCATGCAGAATACTCTACTAGAATGACTATAGATAGAACTGTCCTTGTGCCAAGAATAGCTAGAACTTTTTATTAAGATGTTACTTTCTCCCAGGAATTCAAACTCGAGAGCAATTTTAGTGTCAAGAATTTATCAGAGCCTTATTATCATATAATACCTTAGGAACTCTATTTACCTGTTAATAGAGCATCTGACTTCAGTCTTGAGTAACAGCAGGTCACGGGGCCATCAGTGCTTTTGTGAGAGGAATAGCTGGAATGTTTTAAAATGCAGTCGCTTCGTTAGCTGGAAGTGACTGCCCTCATTTGAAGCCCATTAAATGGGTGATAAGTTCTCTTTTTGTCTGCTTTGGCACAGAAAACAGCTGCTGTAATTCCAGCTTTGCAGAGAGAAACCTTGAAATGAAAAGTGCATGTGCAATCCATCCTGTGACCGTGGTGGAGGGGTGGTGACAGCGTCGTGCTCATCTCGGCCACGGATGGTTGGATGTGCTGAGCCACTGCCCTTAAGAACAGGGAGAATCTAAAGTGTGTCCCAAAGCTTAACTCTAGTATAATAAACTTGCATAATAAGATTTATTATGATTTTTTACGAATTATTAATACAACAAACACATTTGGTGCTGATTCAGGGGAGAATCATTTATACAATTTGACACATGTTCTGAACTACAAACTGCTGTGGAAGTGTGGCAGAGGGCTCATTCCCTGAAGAAATCACACCAATTTCATGAGATCAGTTTCCACTGAGGTTTATACAGCTTCTGTCTTTGAGCTCTACTATGTCAGTGACTCAATTTCTTCCTCTCTGATGGTCACAGACCCTGCAAGGCAAAAGGGGATGGAAGCAAGAAACTTAAATTAATCTGTGTGAGACTTCTTTGCTCTCAGCGTGGCTTTTAAGAGCATGCCAAGGAATTTAATGCTGTTGAGAATAAGATGTAACCGAGAAGAACCAAAGTGCCTTTGGGGAACATAGATCATGTATTTCCAGCCACATCAGCAGTTATTTTTGCACTACTTTGCAAGTATTTGCCAAAAAATTGACGTTGCAACTTCAGGATTTTTAACTTTTTATCCTTAATCAGCAATTGTAATGTTAAAAGTCATTGTAAAATCACATAACATTTTTCTCTTTGCCTTCTTCTTGTGAACTTTAAGCAAATTTCAGAGGCTTATGTGTACAAATACTTCTCTTTTTTGCCCCTTTGTGTCAGTTCAGGATCTAAGTTGAGCTGTGTCCTTCTTCTCTGAATACAATTCTATTTAATTGAGCTCAGGAGGCAAACCACAGTTAGTGTTGAGGAAGAAGTTCAGCACAGGGCTGGTCTTTGTAGCTCGATGTGTGCGTACTTTGTCAGAGGTTTCAAAGGATCTGGGTAAATCAGTTTTGTTAGATAAAGCCAAAAAATGACAGAAGGCTCTTTGCTTATCATGAAACACTGCAGGTAGTTTCAGTGCACCACTGATGCTGCTGGATGGGAACCTGAGTAACTCATTGGATCAGACACCTTCTCTTGCTGTCTAAAATTGTGTTCCTAAGTTAGACGGAAACTAAAATAGCAGAATCTGTCTTTCTGGCAGTTATTTTATGATGGGATATATCAGATGTTTCCTTCAGCTCCTCTCTGTGTGCACCTCACATCTGCGATTGACTTCACAAGTGTGGCACTCTCAGCATATGAAATCAGGTAAAACTCATGGGCAATGATCTCTGAATGTTCTTTATTCCTGTGGATCTGATCAGCATAGTAAGATCCTTCCCAGTATTCTCCAAAGATTTCTATAATCCAGCAAACAACCGCAGCCTGTGCCTTTGTGGACTGTGGTGAAACCTACCCAGATGAATTCACACAGAGCTTTTGTAGTTCTGCAATGAGTTATTTCCCAGCATCACAGATATGAACCATTGAAGGTAAGTCCATTTAGCTGTAGTTTCACAAGAAGGGGAGAGCTCTGGATTTATTCTGCATGTTCTGAATCTTAAAAGCAAGAGCTCCTGAATTGTCTCTTATTCCAGGTTGGGGTGTGACATCTCTAAAGCATGATCTGTGCTGTCTTTGGTGCTGCTTGTGGAAGCATTTCTCCTTTTGTTCATCTTTAAAGTCCAGACAAGACATTCACATGCTGATTTGAACTCCCAGATGAATTATGGTTACTGCATGATATCAAAATTCCTTGTCTTTATAATATGGGTCCTGTATAGAGTTCTTGCAAGTATTGGGCAGCTCCTGAGTGTTACTGGCATAGGCACTGAGTGGTACTAATGCAGGAAGGGGGGGAAGAATCTATCTTGCAATATCTTGACGCTCCTGGCTTGGCATCGCTATTGCTGTGTTTATCAAGAGGGAGCCAATGTAAAGGAATCTCTGCTAATTTAGACCATACATTTCTCATGGAACTGACACATGGGGTGTTTTCTGCATGGTTTCTCCCTGGGGCCTGGTTTTACTCTAATATAAACATTTCTGCCCAAGGGCAATTTCTTACTTCAAGTTGGGTATGTTGAGACCATAAAACTGTGAACCCGAATGTAGAGGTGAGGATGAAGCAACTTTAAAATTAACCTTTGCTTCATCTTTAATATTTAGAAAACTTGCCTGAAGAAAGCAAGGAACAGAACCCGTAGTTATCTGACCTCAACCTCACTGGTACAGCAGACAGGGGAGCTGCTGGTGATATGGCTGCAGTTTTGAAACCTTGAGAACGTTTCTTCCTCTAATTGGGTTGACAGGTCAGAACCAGGGAGGTAGTTACAACACCAGAAACAGCAGGCTTGTGTTAACACAGGGTTTGATTGTTAGGAAAATAAATTTTGAGCCAGAAAACACAGTCACGTGCTGAGATGAATATTCAAAGTGTGGCTCTTGAAACATGAACCTGATTTTTTGACAACTCCTGTGAAAAATAAACTTATGGAATAACTCCAGTTATTCTGACACGTACATGCATTCAGGTCCTTGGGACCACAGTCCTTTCTCAACAGTGACAAATGAAATACTTGGCTTCCTTCTGTCTTCAAGAGACACCTGACTGAATTGGCAAAGAAGGGCCCTGTGAGCATCACCTCAGATGTGTTTTTGAAGGGTTGGAATCGGTTCAATGTGCCTTAGTGGTTCCTGTGTCTGCTGTTGCCTGCTCAGGTTGTTTCTTTAAAGAGCTTCAAACGACTGTGTCCATCCTCATGGTCTCCAAGCTGTGTTTTAAATCTCTTTGTATTTGCTGGCACCTCTCAGGTACCTGGGAGATTGTGTTACTGTTCCTTGGCACAGTTATAAGCTTATAATGTATGTGTAGCTGCTTGATTCCTGCAGAAGTGACTGTGTAGAGGGAAATACTAGTGTTTTTAAGAAATTTTCTGCTTGTGCCCTGAAAGTGTTGCTGCTGGTGACTCAGTTCTCACACAGACCCGTGGGAAAGTCACCTCAAAACTCACCCACTAAAACTCCTCAGCTGAGGATGTAGAGTGTACGTGGGTGAAGGAAGAGCTGTGGGGTTCATCCTAACATGCCCTGCAGCATGTTAGATTATAGCTCTTTGTGTGACTCTGGGCTGTTTGATTGAATCCCATGTTTTTATTAAGAATAAAGTGAATGC